GCTTTGTGCTTGGAGTTACCAGAGACGGCCCACTTGCAATGAATTTACTAATTGTGCAAACCTTTTGTGACATTATGACTCCTATTGTGTTCTCCTTGTCATGGGAGCATGACAACATGAAGTTTCAAAACACTACAGCAGAACAAAGTCTTTGCACTGAACATTATTGCACATGATGCAAAACTCTTTGTACGCTTCTACGAAGAAGTATGATTCAAATGGAAGAGTGGCTTGTAACTTCGGAACAAGATTTTATACCAAACAGAGTGGGTCAATCGAGTAAATCAAAAAAGCATTTGCTTCTTAAAGCAACACAAAGAGATCTAGCTAGAAGAAACTTTTAGAAGAGAAATGGAGTTTCCATAGGATTTCTGCACAGAAATCAAACTTTTAGTTACCACCAGTCCCTCCTTTGATAAACTACTTTAAAGAACGATCAGGCTACTAGCGGTACCACATACTTTTATTGCTACATGCTAACTGCGTTACATTATACATGTTTAAAACCTCTTACTCTTTGATGCCTCTCAAGCCTTTATGTCAGCCAAGAAAAAAAACACACCCCTTCCATAAGCAATTCCTAATAACAATCACATTACTGTACCAAAAAGCCACTAGAAGATATCAGACTCTCAACTGATTTAACTCCTTCAATAATTCTTCGGTCGGCAGTTACAGCAGATGCAGTTTGTTCAAAACCAAATAAAAGATGTCCCACTGCACCATCCTATGAAGATGTTTGAGAATTTATCTCCCTTTTCAACACCATAAACTAAATGGAGCCCCTCAGGTGGCCACAATCAGCACTGAGCAGGATTAGGGACCGCTCGCTACTTGCACAGATCATCCTTGTTCCCTCCATGGGCCAGGCTGTCTTTACAAGGAACGTGCCATGATGCACAGAGAAGCCTTGGGACGTACCACCGCTTTGCATTCCGCTTGCCAGAAGCACCAGCTTCCCAAATCAAAGCTAAAATCACCAGGCACCTGCTTTGGGCATACAGCTTCACCTGGGACTTGGGAAAGCGAGATATTCCAGTTGACTGACGTGCTCTCAGATGACTACAGAGAGCAGCGTTCCCCATCAAGTAACACATTACAACGGACAACTTTTATTATCTCAGTGAAGCTTTCCTCCTGTCTTGTCACTACCCTCACACAAGCATAAAGCTTTGTGCCACTACACAGCAGAAACACAGACCCAGAAGTCCACTTCAACCACCCTACACCATTAACAACGCTAAATACAAACACACAAACCTTTCTCCAAAGCCAAGGTTAAGCCTCACCTCCAGGAGAGGAGATGTCAGTAACCAGCTTGTTCCCATGCCACAACTGCAGGGCAACTGAGACAAAGGCTAAACAACTTGTTTCACCTTCTTGTTTCACCTGCTCCCTGTTTGTTAGAAGTGATACGCTCCCTCGCCCATCAAGCTCTTACAACTTTGGGGAGGGAAAAAAAAAGCACCAAGTAACATGATATATTTAATATGGGCAGGGATTTGAATGAAAAAAGAATAAAAGAAAATGTTAACAGAGCGTCCCAAAGGAGACGTTGCCATTCTTACTAATCACGTCTGCTTAGAGCCAGTCGCAGCAGACGGAGCCCCACAAGGCCAGGTCGCAGGCAGGGACATCTCCCACCGCAGGAGGCGGCAGCAGCGGTGCCGGGGCGGCTCCGGGACGGCTCCCGGGCGGCCGCGGCTCTTGCGGGACCTTCGTTTACCGGTACCGGGCTGTTCC